CTTTTAAAAAATCCGCGGCTCAAGGTGCTCCTCTAAAAATATTTTTTAAAAATTCCACAAAAAAAAAAAAAACAGTAAGTCCCAATTTATATTAGGCGAGTTTACTTGCGGCAAGTCTTTGACTGTAGGAGAGAGGGGCAAGGGGAATAGAAATGGAAAAAAATTGCTCGTACCGACAATTTTCTGGCAATTCGTTTTGTGTATTTCGTATTTGTTGACATTTTATATTTATTTAAATGTGAAAAAACTATTGACATCAAATGAAAAAAGAAATATTTTCGAAACCGAATTGCCTTGTATAGACGCATGGAGCAAGTTCAAAAGGGAACGATAATGATTGCCGCAAGTAAACTCGCCTAATATATATCAGGACTAAGGACAGTAGTAAAGTAGGACTGGGCCGACTATATGATACCCTTCACCACTTTGGGTATATATATGAACCGATTTCAGGGCAACTTGCCAGAGACTAATTTGTTTTACATTAGTACGTTGTGTAAATCGGCCTAGCTATGGATCTTTTCACGAAGCTTAGCAACATCATTCTAGACTTAATTTGGTACCCTATCCCAAAATTCGTGCAAATCGAAAGATATATAGGGACTTTGGTGCACCAATTACATAAAATCGGACGAAAATATATATATGGGAGCTATTTCTAAATCTGAACCAATTTTCACGAAACTTAGCACACGCCATTCTAGCCTTAATTCAGTACGCTATGACAAATTTCGTGCAAATCGAATGATTTTCAGAGATTTTGGTGAACCAATTACCTAAAATCGAATGAAAATATATGGGAGCTATATCTAAATCTGAACCGATTTTCAGGAAACTTAGCACACGTCATTCTAGCCTTAATTCAGTACGCTGTGCCAAATTTCGTGCAGATCGAAAGATATTTAGGGACTTTGGCGCAACATTTACCTTAAATCGGAAGAATATATATATGGGAGCTATATAAAAATCTGAACTGATTTTTCACGAAATTTATCACCCGAAATTTAACACTCAATTCAGTATGCGGTGCCAAATTTCGTGCAAATCGAAAGATATATAGGGACTTTGACCCACCATTTACCTTAAATCGGACGAAAATATATATGGGAGCTATATCTAAATCTGAACCGATTTTCAGGAAACTTAACACAAATCATTCTAGACATAATTCATTACGCTATGCCAAATTTCGTGCAGATCGAAAGATATTTAGGGACTTTGGCGCAACATTTACCTTAAATCGGAAGAATATATATATGGGAGCTATATAAAAATCTGAACTGATTTTTCACGAAATTTATCACCCCAAATTTAACACTCAATTCAGTATGCGGTGCCAAATTTCGTGCAAATCGAAAGATATATAGGGACTTTGGTGCATCATTTACCTTAAATTGGACGAAAATATATATGGGAGCTATATCTAAATCTGAACCGATTTTCGCGAAAATTGGCACACATTATTCTGGAACTAATTCAGTACTCTATGCCAAATTTCGTGAAAATCAAAAGATATATAGGGACTTTGGTGCACCATTTACATGAAATCGGACGATATATGGGAGCTATATCTAAATCTGAACCGATTTTTCTCAATTTCAATAGGGTTCGTCCTTGGGCCAAACAAATGAGCTGTGCCAAATTTCATCCAAATCGGATTATAAATGCGACCTGCACTTTGTTTACAATTTTACACCAACAGGCGGACGGACAGACGGACGGACGGACATGCATAAATCGACTCAGAAAGTGATTCTCGATTTCTTTTGCCTATTACAAACATATGCACAAAGACATAATACCCTGTACCACACTGTGGTATTAATAAATTCACCCACACCCTCTTCACTTCCATTTCATTCTTTTCCATTCCATGAGATTATTTTTATGCACTCTCTGTTTGTCTGCGGCACAATTTTTATCTGTTTGTTGTTGTTGTTTTTTTTTGTGTGATTTTTTTCTAGGTTCTTATCACCCTGGAGGTGTTATCATCGGTAATCGTACGTTAATGTTTCCAATGCACAATTTATATTTACTTATCAGCACCTAAGGCACACCGAAAACTACACAATAACAGCTCTGCCAATAAAAACAACAACAAAATTTATAAGTCAAATATTTAATGAGTAAATAACTGAATTTCTTGGAATTATTTTTTCTTGTCTTGAATTTTTTTTTGATTCCCTAATTCCCAGTGATTGATAGTTTAATATTTTTTGTCGTTTTCCAGAAACTACTACATGGGTACAATCGTCACCTGCTGCTCCCCTGCCACCGTTCGCCGTTATTGGTGGCCACGATTGTGATGGTACACCAATTTATGTTGGACGTGCCTTCCACGAGGGCGATAATCTACCCGCCAAGGTTGTACCCAGCAAAGGTCAGGCCTACGTCTGCTGGGGTGGCATGGAACATGTCAAATTTCAATATGAAATTTTGGTAGGCCAGGGTTACGGTTGGCAACCCTGCTACAACGGGGCCGTACCCCCAAATGCTGTACGCAGTGGCATGACCAGGACGGGTGAGCCCCTGTATGTGGGTCGTGGCCACTACGCCAATTCGCTGTGCGTTGGCAAAATCCATCAATCCCATGGCTGTCTGTACATTCCATTCGGAGGTCAAGAAATTCGCCTCAACACCTATGAAGTTCTGGTCTTTGAACATGTCAACAATTGGGTGGCCTCAACGCCCAATTATACACCACCCGGTGCCGTTGTGGCTGGCCATGACACAGATCGCGCTGTCATCTATGTTGGTCGGGCCATGCACGAAGGTGAACTATTGCCGGCCAAAATTATACCCAGCAAAGGATGTGCCTATGTCTGTTACGGTGGCTACGAGATCAACAAGCGCAACTTTGAGGTATTGTGTGGACCGGGCTATGCCTGGATAAAACCGCATCATCATGTCATACCGCCAAATGCCGTGTCCACTGGTCGTTCGCGCAATGGTGAACCGTTGTTTGTGGGACGGGGTCATCATCACGGCAGTTTGACTCCGGGTCTGGTGTCGGTTAGCCAGAGATGTTTGTTCATACCCTATGGTGGACGTGAGATTCGCATTAGTGATTATGAAGTTTTGATTAAGCAATAAGTAGACATGAGAAAAAAAATTATTATTTAATTATATTTCCAATTGTACAGTTAACTTATTAAAAAAATATATATTTAAAAAATAAACAAAAAAATTAAACTCAAAAGGCATGGATTTTTTTTTAATATTTTCTAATGCATCTTCGCAAGGCGTGGATTTTTTTTTAATAGTTTCTAAGCACAGATTTCTTAACCCTTTTAGTGTCAAAAAAAAAAATTTTTGTCGGAATAAAAATCGAAAATTTTTTATTTAAAATCATATAAAGGCACAGAGTTTAGAAAAAAAGGCAATTTTTATTTTAACCATCGGACAGTTTTGTCTGTCTTTCAGCAAAAACAAAAACATCAATTGTAACGGTACATAGGATAACCGAAAAATTACAAAGAAAGAGAGTAATTTTAAATGTCGAATATATTGAACAAAAACACTGAAAGGGTTAATAATATTTTCTAAGGCATCTTCTTTTTTTACTGATCTTACAAAAACAAAATTTAGAGATAATATTTATACACTACACAACTATGTTGGTCCTAGACCCACCTTTAATTATACCGATCGTCATATCTCGAGTAGCAGAGTCGATCTAGACATGTGAGTCCGTCCGTCCGTCTGTCCATTATAATTTGTAAACACGATACAGACCACAGTTATGGACCAATCTTCACGAAATTTTGCATGTGGGATGGGTTCTGGCCAATGAAGACACCTATTGTTTCTGGTAAAGATCGGTTAATATTTAGGGGATGAAATGGACCAAATACTTAATTTTTGTCGGATTTTCTGGTCGCTCCAGAGGCCGCAATTATGGCCCGAACATCGTGAAATTTTACATGGAGAAGGGGATCGGGCCGAAGATTAAGCATGCCTTTTTTGATAAAGATCAGTCAATATTTAGCGGGTCAAATGTCAGGGTGAAAAATTACAAAATTTGGATTCTATGGCGTATATATTTACTCCTAAAATAGGAGTGCCTGACCTTTAAATTGATACCAATTATATTGTCGTATGTTCTCGGATTAAATTTCAGATATTATTTAGTAACCCATTACCACACTAGAGGGCGGAAATATAACGCTGATCGATTTGAAATTGTTCACGGGGTTCCAGATATGGTCGAGGACAGCGCTTATAATTTTCGTTGATGATCAGATAATAATTTTGGGATGAAGTGAACCGAAAACTTATTTTTTTGCAATTTTTCGAATCGATCTATAGGTCACAGTTATAAACCGATCATCACCATACAACCCACGCTGAAGTCAATCTGGACAAGTAATAAGAAGGGCTGTACTGAATATTAGTAATATTCGGAAAATATGTCAGTGTGTGGAAGATGTGCTGTTGACCTCTAATAGGGAAAGAGGGTGAAACTACCACGAAATATTGCACATGCTCGGAATAAAAATGTCCAGAAAGTTAGAGTTCCTTCGTAATTGTGTAGGGTATCGTATGGTCGGCCCCGTACCGCTCACGGGTTTTAATATGTATTTTTTCTTATCGGCAATAATTGTGAAACGAACACCTAATGATGTGAAACAATTCATTTGTTCTGGGCAATTATCGTTTGGACTCCAAAGTGAAATGTTGTTGTTCTTCATACCGGTACTAGGACTTCCGTCATTGGCTGCGGAAGGCGTAACCCAGCCGTTAAGGGTATGCCAAATGTTTCTGAAGGACGAAAATAACAAAAATTACAAATTCTATCTACTAGGTCGAACAACCTGAGGAGGGGACAAGTTTAAATCCTCAACTAGAAATCATGGAGTTACGTAACCAACTTTTGCAAACGCCATCTGAAATTAACGAATTCAATACTTAAAAGAAGGCATACGATATTTGAACAAAAATTGGAAAAACTTTTGAAGGAATTCGGAATGTCCGTGTCCGGGACAACCGATATCGCCGATATGCATGACTATGAGCCCAACCCATCTCTGTCAAATAATCAGACATCGACGGCTGAGGAAGTACCTTTCACGGATATATTGGATGATGGTGAGTTGTGTGAATGTGGACCAAACCGAGCTCTGCCAGATACACAGAAGCCTGCTGCTCAGAAAATATATTTTACGGATATAATGGATGCTGGTAAGTTGGTCTCCAGAGTGGAAATAATTTTAAAAATTCGTTCGCGTTCTTCAATATTTTCGGTCAAATTATGGTGTGTGTGTGATTAAATTTGTGCTGAAAGAGTATATAATATTTTTTGATCGCATCGAAAATTTCTCTGTATAAATCCACTTTTTCCTATATCACTTAGTATTATGAATATATCCTAAATGTATATTTTCAGATGAGCCGAAGGTATGCAAATTGAATAATAATTCGGATACCAACCTAGTATGGTACGTACTTCTAAGGTTGCACCTAAGTACACATTTTATACACAATTCATTTCATCTCCCTCACTCTGAATTCATTTGCGTTCAGTACAAAATTATCGCTTGCTGAAAGCTGTGCCGATTCAAATAGCCTCAATTGTCGTAATGGGCTGTGTCGCATAAAAAACCACATCTATGGTCCCAAGTCATTCTGGGTTCCCTGTGATGGCGATTGGACAATTGTCCAGCGACGCATCAATGGGTCCGTCGGTTTTCAGAGGAAGTGGTTGGACTACAAGACCGGCTTTGGCGATTTGAATGGAGAATTTTGGCTCGGCTTAGATAAAATCCATTCCCTAACGGCTCTTTACGGAGGAGTCGAACTTAAAATTGAAATGCAGGATTTTGACAATATCTGGAGATATGCCCATTATGGGTCGATTTCTGTTGGCAACCAAACCACAAAATATCAAATAAAGGTGTTGGATTATACAGAATCAACTGCAGGTGACTCGCTCAATGTGCATAGAGACGAGCGTTTTTCAACATTCGACCAAGACAATGATAAGAACACTAATAAAAATTGTGCCTCCTCATTAATGGGGGCGTGGTGGTACTATAACTGCGACTTGAGCAGCAACAACATAAGCAATTTGAATGGATTCTATTACAAAGATGGTGTCGTCCCAAAAGACAAGCCTGGCAGTGGAATTATTTGGAAAACATTTCGTGGAGAATTTTATTCATTGAAATTTGTTCAAATGAAAATTAGACCAAAGAAGAAATAAATGAATTCTTATTTTTCTGGGGGAAAATTAACTCCTTATTTGCAAAAAAATAAATAAAGAAACAAAAAAAATAAGGCGTGGATTTTTTTTCTGAGGCATCTACATGAGGCGTGGAATTTAAAAAAAAAAAAAATTCTAAGGCATCTTTACAATGCGTGGATTTTTTTATACACTTCACCACTCTGTGGTACAGGGTATTATGTCTTTGTGCATATGTTTGTAACAGGCAAAAGGAAACGAGATAGACACATGGTTCCTTTTGAGAATATGGATAGAATCTCTTTCTGAGTCGATTTACGCATGTCCGTCTATCCGTCCGTCTGTCCATGTTAAATTGTAAACAAAGTACAGGTCGCATTTATGATGTGTGCCAAGTTTCGAGAAAATCGGTTCAGATTTAGATATAGCTCCCATATATAGTTTCGTCCGATTTAAGGTAAATGGAGCACCAAAGTCCCTATATATCTTTCGATTTGCGCGAAATTTGGCATAGAGTACTGAATTAGGTCCAGAATGATGTGTGCAAAGTTTCTAGAGAATCAGATTTAGATATAGCTCCCATATATATCTTCGACCGATTCAAGGTAAATTGTGTATCAAAGTCCCTATATATCTTTCGATTTCCACGAAATTTGGCACAACGTACTGAATTAGGTCCATAATGATGTGTGCTAAGTTTCGAGAAAATCGGTGCAGATTTAGATATAGCTCCCATATATATCCTCGTCCGATTCAATGTAAATTGTGTATCAAAGTCCCTATATATCTTTCGATTTCCACGAAATTTGGCACAACGTACTGAATTAGGTCCATAATGATGTGTGTTAAGTTTCGTGAAAATCGGTTCAGATTTAGATATAGCTCCCATATATATATTCGTCCGATTTTAGGTAAATAGGCCACTAAGGTCCCTATATATTTCGCTTTGCACGAAATTTGGCAAATCGTAATGAGTAAGGTCTAGAATTGTGTGTGTTAAGTTTCATGAAAATCGGTTCAGATTTAGATATAGCTTCCATATGTATTTTCATCCGATTTAAGTTAATTGGTGCACCAAAGACCCTATATATCTTTCGATTTGCACGAATTTTGGTATAGGGTACTGAATTAAGTCTATAATGATGTTGCTAAGTTTCGGGAAAAGATCCATATCTCGGCCGATTGACACAACGTACTGATGTTATATAAATTAGTCTCTGGCAAGTTTCCCTGAAATCGGTTCAGATATAGATTTATTACAAAAACGCGTCGTCTGTTAGGATACATATGTAAAATATCCCCAAAGTGGTGAAGGGTTTCATATAGTCGGCCCAGTCCGACTTTACTACTTCCCTTGCTGGTTTAATATTATTTTCTAAGGCATCTTCACAAGACGTGGATTTAAAAAAAAATCTTCTCTGAGACATCTTTACAAAGCTCAGATTTCTGAATATGATTTTCTAAGGCATTATCACAAATCTCAGATTTCTTAAAATTCTAAGGCATCTTTTTTTACTGATCTTACAAAGTCAAAATTTAGAGATAATGTTTTCATTTTATGTTCGCATACCAACCCTATTTATTAAAAAATAATACCAAGCCCTTTTGAAATTTCTGTTTTAATATGTACATAAATTCTATTCTTATCGGCAATAATTGTGAAACAGACACCCAAAGATTTGAAACAATTCGTTTGTTCCGGTTAATTATCGTTTAGACTCCAAAGTGAAATGTTGCTGCTGTTCTTTGTACTGGTGCTAGCATGTTCTTCATTGGCTGCGGGAGGCGTACCGCAGCCGTTGAGGGTATGTCAAATATTTTTCAAAGGACGAAAATAACAAAAATTACAAATTCTGTCTACTAGGTCGAACAATCTCTGAATGGGACAAGTTTAAATCCTCAACTAGAAATGATGGGGTTACGTAACCAACTTTTGCAACGCCATCTGGAATTAACGAATTCAATACTTAAAATAAGGCATCGGACATTTGAACAAAAATTGGAAAAACTTTTGAAGGACTTCGGAATGTCCTTGTCCGATATCGCTGATATGCATGACAATGAGATCAACCCACCTCTGTCAAATAATCAGACATCGACGGCTGAGGAAGTACTTTTTACGGATATATTGGATGATGGTGAGTTGTGTGAATGTGGATCACTGAAACCTGCTGCTGAGAAAATTTATTTTACGGATATAATGGATCCTGGTAAGTTGGTCTCCAAAGTGCAAATAATTTTAAAAATTCGTTCGCATTCTCCAATAGTTTCGGTCAAGTTTTGGTGTGTGTGTGTGTGATTAAATCTGTGCTGAAAGAGTACTTAATATTTTGTGTCGCATCGAAAAATTCTCTGTATAGATCCACTTTTTCCAATATCACCCAATATTATGAATATATCCTAAATTTATCTTTTCAGATGAGCCGAAGGTATGCCAATTGAATAATAATGAGGATGCCAACCTAGTATGGTAAGTACTTCGAAGGTTACAACCAAGTATAAAATTTATACGGAATTCAATTCATGTCTCATTTCATGTTCAGTACAAAATTGTCGCTTTCTGAAAGCTGTACCGATTCCAATACCCTCAATTGTCGTAATGGGATGTGTCGCATAAAAAACCACATCTATGGTCCCAAGTCATTCTGGGTTCCCTGTGATGGCGATTGGACAATTGTCCAGCGGCGCATCAATGGGTCCGTCGATTTCAACAGAAATTGGTTGGACTACAAGACCGGCTTTGGCGATTTGAATGGCGAATTCTGGCTCGGCTTAGATAAAATTCATTCTCTAACGGCTCTTTACGGAGGCGTCGAACTTCAAATTGAAATGCAGGATTTTGACAATATCTGGAGATATGCCCACTATAGATCGGTATCTGTTGGCAATGAAGCAACAAAATATAAATTAAGTGTGGGCGCTTATAGTCAATCGTCTGGTGAGAACTCGTTCAGTATCCATAGCGGACAATATTTTTCAACATTCGACAAAGACAATGATAATGAGTCTGGTAAGAATTGTGCTTCTACGTTAATGGGGGCTTGGTGGCACTATACCTGCACTATGGGGTATGTCGAAAGGGTGAAAAATTAGAAATGATCGAATTTCTTTAATTTTTTGTTTTTGGTTTCTATTTATGTCCACAGCAACAGCAACAACAACAACAACATAAGCAATTTGAATGGATTCTATTACAAAGATGGTGTCGTTCCAAAAGACAAGCCAGGCAGTGGAACTATGTGGAAAACATTTCGTGGAGAATTTAATTCATTGAAATTTGTTCAAATGAAAATTAGACCAAAGAAGAAATAAATGAATAAAAATTCTTACTTTTCTGGCGGAAAATTAAGTCCCTATATGCCAAAAAATACGAGTTGCAATGGATGCTTAAAATGAGAGCAGATTTATTCCTATGTAAGAAAATGAGCTGAATTGAGCTTTTTAATACAGGACATTAGCCGTATTGAATTCTGGAATTAAATTAAGTTTTTATACCCTACACAACTATGTTATCAGGGTATTATAGCTTTGTGCAGCTCCTAGAGTTTGTAACACCCCAAAATATTGGTCCTAGACCCACCTTTAAGTATACCGATCGCCATATCTCGACTAGCTGAGTCGATCTAGACATGTGTGTCCGTCCGTTCGTCCGTCTAGACAGACCATTATAATTTGTAAACACGATACAGGCCACAGTTATGGACCAATCTTCACGAAATTTTGCATGTAGGATGAGTTCTGGGGCCAATGAAGCCCCCTATTGTTTCTGGTAAAGATCGGTTAATATTTATGGGATGAAATGGATAAAATACTTAATTTTTGTCGGTTTATCTGGTCGCTCCAGAAGCCGCATTTATGGCCCGAACATCGCGAAATTTTCTCATGGAGAAGGGGATTGGGCCAAAGAATAAGCATGCCTGTTTTGATAAAGATCGGTAATTATTTAGCGAGTCAAATGGACCCTGACTTTTTTGTGAAAAATGACAAAATTTGTATTCTATGGCGTATATATTTACCCCTAAAGAAGAAATACCCGAGATGCTGATAGCATATCCAAGAGGAGTGGTTAACCTTTAAATTGATACCAATTATATTGTCGTAGGTATTTAGATGCGGGAGTTACACTTAAATATTTACAGGTGCTTATGTATTCATCATGGTATAATAATAGAAGGTAACAGCAAGTGTTGTTGTACAAAAAACGATACAACAACCACATGGAAATTTGTTGTTGTAAGTTCTACTAGTGTCAACTCATTTGACAGAAAAATGTAAACAAACAAACAAATTATCATCAAATTATTTTTATTTTGAAAATGAAATATTTTCGAATCCTCAAAATAAAAATTGAAAAACATGAATGAAAATGTATCAAATTTATATTTCTATCGCTTCCACATCATTCCTATAATTGAGCCATTGCCATATATATGTGTAACACATATGAAAATGCTGGGAATAGCGAGTTATTCCTTGAAGAAAGATTTGCTTCCTCAAACTTTCCCAGCAGGCAGATTGAGTAAATTGAATACAAGAGCACATTTAATAAAGAACAATTTCAAATTGTATGCGTTCCCAATTTGCCTGTTGGGTGATTTTTAAAAACATAATTTGTCAAATTCATATTGACACTAGTATTACGTTGGAATCAAATCAGCTGGGATTTGCTGTTACCTTTTATAATTGTACCATGTGTATTCATATATTATTTAGTAACCCATTACCTCACTAGAGGTCGGAAATATAGCGCTGAAGACATTAAAATTTTCCATGAAGATTCAGGTATGGTCAAGGACAACGCCTGTTGATATTGATCAAAGTTTTACCTATAACCAGTAAGGAAAGTAGTAAAGTCGATCTGGGCCGACTATATGATACCCTTCATCACTTTGGGTATATTCTACATATGTATCCTAACAGACGACCTGTTTATACCCTTCACCACACTGTGGTACAGTGTATTATATCTTTGTGCATATGTTTGTAACAGGCAAAAATAATCGAGATAGACCCATGGTTCC